AATGTCCACAATTGATTACAGTAGATAACATGGTGATTAACCTGACACATTAAATAAATAAAATAATATCACATCTGAACAAAGTTAATCATATTTAAAAAGCATTTGGTATTGAAACGATTATCAACTAAATTATTTGATGAAACAGCTGTCGAGCATGATTCTTTACTTAAAAAAACATGATTTTAACCGAAAAAGATTCTTTTGTTTTTCTTTTATTTTTAAAAAATTTTCTAGTGAAATAAAACGATATGTAGGATATCAAATATATTAGGATGAAAAACATAATGAAAAGGATTTTCTTAAAATTTTCTTCTTTATGTTATTTAGTTTTTCTTTTCATTTCTTTTTTCTTTTGTTCAAAATAAAATAAAGATATTTTTTTTAGTGTGTTGATGATATTATATAACATACGGTTAAATTAGATAAATTTGACGAAATAATTTCAAAAATTGATAATAATGATCATCCTATTATTTTTTGAAAATATTTTTTCTAATGATTTAAATTTTTTTTTTATTGATTTTTGATTATTAAAACATAAACGTCTCAAAACAATTTGTTATCGTTTACATCTGATGATTAAGTGTTACTTTAATTCTTTCAATCCTGATATTTTATTGCGTTCTGCATGAAGATGAAGACAAATAGCTGAATCTCTCTCTGGCATTCTGTTATTATGACCAGTTACGTTTGATATCCAGCATCACTATTACTATACATAAGAAAAGACAAGAACTTGCAACACATTATATGATATTGGTCGTCTAAGAAGACCACAGAACGCAAAATGTTTCTTTTGCGTTGCGCATATCATCTACGAGATGATATGCAGTATTGAAAAAATTAACATGATTGACCTAAAGATAAAGTCACAAAAATGATTATTACTATTGGAAATTTTTGAGTTTTAGATTTGATTGCGTATGTGTTGAAAATGTTTTCCTTTTCTTTTGGACATAAAAAAACTTCATTATCTGATATTCTTCTAAAGTTGTGAACAAAATTTTCGGTTTTCATGTTTCGACTTTCCAACCCTGGTCAGATAAATAAAGAAAAGGCAAACAAAAGATAACCAATATAAACACTTTTTTTCTTTTCTTTCTTTTTCATACATTTGAATGTACTTAGAAATGTTCACAATTCAATAACAAACATATATTGGTAAACCGGTACAGATTTTCAAATGTTACTAGCAATATTTTAACTAAACATGTTCTTGTATTCATTTATTATTATTGATCTTACGTTTTTCTTTTCAGATAATCTCAATAATGTCAATAAGACGAACTTTAATGTATTTACTTTTAATAGCAATGATGACATTAACAGCAATTGTATATGTAGCTTCTACTAAAATACATCTCGTCGAAATAATTATAATGCTTGCCGCTGGATCATTGGTTATTTTTATGACCTTTCAAGATATTAGTTGTATATGTTGTCCAACAGCTTCTGGAAGTCTTGGTAATCTTGATGATATGATTGATGATTTATTGAATGAATATGATGAACGATCAATTAATGGGGAATTATTAAGGGTGTGGGTGTAGGGATTAGTGTGGGAGTGTGGTATGGATGTGGAGCATATATCCAGTCACACCCACTTACACCCACACCCTCAAACAACCATACCTACAGTAGTTACTAAAATTATTCAACAAGCTTTATTTTCAATTTTTATCAATTGTATTATTGGCAAAAAGCAGTTCAAATAGTAACTAACAAGAAGAATATAAAAATGATAATCGGATACTTAAAGTTAGCGTATCCCGAAAATCAAAATCTTAACTTCTCAATATGTAGAATACGCAAACATAATTTTGTTCAATCTACACAACATGAGATGCTTCCGAGCTATGTGTGATCCTTTTTGGCTGAAATACAGCAATTGTACAGAAGCCTATCAAGTCATTTGTCTATGATCTCCTTCAGTAATACGATTACAATTGCAAAATGCACACATTCATTCGATTAAATGATCTGTATTTAATATTATTAAACATATTTATTTCGTTAACAGATTTCATCTTTCTCGTTTATTTATTTTGTTGTTTGGACATCAGTTTGCGAAATTAACACGATAACACACGCATAAAGAGGATAGAAGAAATAATAATCATTTTTTTTAATAATAAAAAGAAAACTAATCAAGTCTAAGTCCTTGCTTCATTTGATGATGATGTTGTTGTATCCATAGTATCAACATTTGATTCTCCACTAGCACCTTCATTTGGTTTATCTTCATATTCAATTGTTCGTGGACCATATATAAGTAAATAAGCTGTATGCCAATCACCACCACCGGATAATTTCAAAACATCTTCTTCAGTCACTGGTGTTACATTTTCATCATCGAACATAAGCCATTCACCTAATTTTAAAAAAATATCTAATAAAAGAAAAATTATAATGATTTGTTTTTTTTTACTTTGAGTACGACGAACCCATGAAACATAATGTCCACTTGAACTAGATCGACCTTTATGTGTAAGAACAGCATTTAATTGATAAAAACCATTATTATTTGAACCAACATCTAATTACAAAAATAAACTTTTCATATGAAATAATTTAAGCCTCTCCCTCCCCTCAAGAAAGTCATTTTTCGTCAGCAAAAACTGAAATTGAAATAGATCGATGTCTAATATTTCATAAGCGACATGATTTTTTATTTGAGACTTTGTTTTTTTGTCAAAACTTTTGATGATTTTTATTTGAAAGACCATATCAAGATGCAGAGCATGACAAAGCCCTTTTTTGAATTAAAGTTTTTCACTATTACATAAAAGTCCTTTTATAATTAGGACGCCATTTTTTTTTTGAATTTTTCAAGACACTGAATTTTTCTGTATTTCCTTGTTTGTTGAGTATCTCGTGAAAACGTTATGATATAATGTTGAAAATTTTACCATAGCCTCTCCATTACAATTGCAACGTATCCTGAAAATTTCATGCAATTCGAATGTACCTAGTCCAAGATCATATTTTTAAGGGCCTCCCTCACAATAGTTCATTTTAGCTAAAATTTTGAGGAATGAGTGGTCCTAATGAGAGATACTTCTAGTAAAAATCTCAGCTCGATACGTTAAACTAGATAAGATTTTCAGCTTATCTATAGTCGATTGATGATCTTCAGGGAAATCTCTATAACCTTGTCACTACAAAAGATATAGAGCTTGAGACAGTTTTAAATTAAAGCTAATATCTGCGCGCAGTTTTTGTCCGAATAGAATTTTGAAATTTGCTTCCATTCGTTCTTTTCTGAAGGTATCTTTCTATGATAAAAACTCAATTTCGAGTTTTTCTCGAAAAAATGGATTTTCTGAAGTGAGGGGAGTATTAATAAAATTAATTACCATCAGGAAATGATGTTGGTAAACGACTTTGATTTTTTGGTTCAACAACTACTTCACCAAGTTTCTAAAAAGAAACATATATACATATCTACATTTCTTATTCAATTAAACACTAATCGAGTAGCTGCCTAATTCGAGTTCGACAATAAATCAAAATTTCATCTGCACTTACCTCATAGTCAAAAACTAAGAGAAGTTTTCATTGAATTCGAGCGAAGACCTTCATGTTAGAATGGTCAAAGATAAATTTTATTTCAATTATAATTCAACGAAGGATTTGTATCTTATTCAATCATCACAGAAATAATGTGGTTCGCATAAAAATTATCACTGTGATAAAAATTTATCTTTAATCATGTTGGGCGTTCTAACATGAAACTGTTGATTCGAATTATTTTTTTTTGCAATTTTTTTTCGAAGTGATATTAAGCTCATAGAGCTTTATTAAAAATTTGAACTCGAATTAGGCAACTGATACACTAAATAAATACTTTAGCTCGTTCACGATCAAGTTTTGCATCTTCAGCTTGTTTTATTTTTTCTCTTGCTGGCATAAGACGTTTTTGTAAATCTGGTGTACATATATCAAATACATCAAGTACCATTGAATATTGAACATCCTTATAAAACAAAAATAAATAAATAATTATTATTATTAAGAAAAAATTAATATTATTCACTTTAAGAATTTTTGCATTAATTTTTTCTTTTTCTTTATAAAAAAATCGTACAAATTGAATTGTTAAATAAGCAGGTAAACGTGAAAGATGAGTCTAAAAAATACAAATAAAGATAATAAAAACAATTATAAACAAGAAAAAGAACTATACATACAGTTTTAGTGAAAACAGCATCACGATTAAGTGTCGTTGAATGTTTTGTTATCTGTTCTTCCAATCTCTAAAAAAGAAAAAGAACAAGAAAATAGAGAAATGATTTATTTTTTAACTTAAGAAAACTTACATTTTTCAAACCAGTCAATAAGTATTTGACATCTTAAGAAAAAAAGAAAAATCATCATAAAAATTTTTTTTTAAATTTCTTTGAATTAAATTTACCTTGATTAATAAAACAACTAAGTTGAAGGAAACGTTCTTCAGATACAGTTGTTGATTCTTCGGGTGCTTCATTACATTTCATTCTAAAGAATATATATATATTTTTAAATAGTACTTTAAAACAGAAAGAAAACTAAGATTTACGTGGATCGAGCACTTATTCCAAAATATTGATCAACAAGACTTTTTTCATTATTAGTACTTGATGCTGTTGTTGTTGTTGTTGTTTCATCATTTAATTTTTTTCCGGGTATATTCATTTGAAGTATTTGCATAAGTTGTACCCAAAATTCATTTGCATCTTGTTGCATCATATGACCATGATCATCTTTTTCAGCGAAACGTGGAAATTCACGATGAATTGTTGCAAGCAATGTTAATGGCATATATGCTTCACTTGTTGTATCTAACTGTTGATATGTTATTTTTAAGGCATTTGCTATCATTTGTGTTCCATCAATCATCATAGTACTTTGACCAGAAAATGCACGATGTGTTGGATGATATTGTTTAACAGCATCACGTAATTCTGGTACACTTTTGAGACATTGTAATGTAGCATTCATATAACAAGTATTACCTGATAAATGGAAGAATTATTGTCTATTAAGTCGTCACTATTCTTTCTTGAAATTTGTCATGACGAACGAGGAAACCTTCTCAGATATCTCCTTCTAATTTCAATGATTTTTTTCTCTATAGATACTACATAGTGTTCTAATAAAAATCCTAAAAGGTTTTTCCATCCTATTGATATTTGACTAACGAGGAGAGGTCCCCAAGTGTGACGTGCTATTTTGAATCAGATCTATACCAGTTAGTAGAGCTTGAGGAGACTAAACGAAGTTTAAAAGGATTTATCCTCATATGCTGTCCTTCTCGAGTTTTGACCGTTTTACTGAATTTTCAATCTATAGCAGTCTATATAAGAAAACTGAATTACAGGATTTTGTCCTAAAATTTTGCTCATTGATAAGTATCATGGTCCTTAGAATGTCCTAAAAATTTCAGACCAAAAGAGTGTTTTATTCTGCAGATATTAGGTATCCAAAAAACGATCATGTGTTGCAAGAAAAGGTCAGAAAAGCGCATGTCTTCAACATTCGACATTTCAGGAGAAAAGCATTCTTTTGAGCTGAAATTTTTAGGACATTCTAAGGGCCATGAGATCTATCTGTGGGCACAATTTCAGGTCTAAATCCCGTAATTCGATTTTCCCATATATATCTTGCTTGAGGTCGAAAATCTAGTAAAACGGTCATAACTTGAGAAGGACAAGTATGGAAACGAACCATTTTAAGCTTTGTCTAGTCTCATCAAGCTCTACTAAGTGGTATAGATTCGATTCAAAATGGTGCATCACACTTGGAGACCTTTTCTCATGAGCTATGGAATTTTTAATCTGTGTATTTTCTAGAGCTTTCAGGTTTTCGAAAAATTCGTATTTTTGATTTTAGATCTAAAACTTTGTACATATAGAGAACTCGACTACACTAGCCTGAATAAAAAAGAAATCACGAGTTTTGAACAAAGTCTCTCCGATATATGAAGCTTCCCAAAAAAAAAATGCATGTTGTTTACAGACTCCATGGAAAGAGGTCTGTATCTTGAAAAAACTTTGTTTAAAACTTATGAATTTTTTTATGGAAGGTAGTCTAGTTGAGTTCTCTATATGCGCAAAGTTTCAGATCAAAATTTGAAAAAAAAACGAGTTTTCCGAACATCGTGGATGTCTAGAGAACAAACATTTTAATAATTCGATAACTTAGTCAAATATTAATAGGAACCCAAATTCTTTTAAAGTTTTTATTAGAACACTGTGTAGATTAGTATCTATAGGCAAAGAATCATTGAAATCAGAAGAAGACATCTGAGAAAACATCCTCGTCAGTGCCCATTATGACAATCTTAAAATCGTTTATGTACATGATCTGTTCGTCAAATGTTATAACCGTTTTATTGACTTTTTAGGTTGAGGAATAGTATGTACAAAAAACATAAATGAAAATATTTTTATCTGAAATCCTATTCAGATAAAAATATCTTCATCTGAGTTTCCTGCAGGTACTGTGCCCTTGGCTAAAAATTCAATGAAACGATTATAACATTTGAAAAAAAAGAAGCCATTAGCATAAATGTTTTTAAGATTTTCATAGTAGTACTGAGCCCTATTCATGATTAAAAGATCAGCTCAAAATCAAGAAAGCAGTTGGGATACATCACTTATGAGTTATTTTATTTTTGTAAAGTTCTTACCAAGATTTTTGAGACCACCCGGATGTTGTAAATGTTGAGCAAGTTGTGCTTCGGTCATATCTTCTAAAAATTTGACTTTTTCTGTTGGTAATTCAGGTACTGGATCAGCTGAACCCATCATTAAAAGTGTTAGACCATTTGTTAAACTAACTTTTCCCCATGTATCATCACCAATTGTTTGTCCTTTAACCATAATTTTTTGTCGTTCAGTTGGAACATTTGTTAATGAAAATAATTGAGCTTTAAGAACAGCTGGTGGTAATGATGTATCAACTTCAACATCTTTGAACACTTCTTTATTCCATTTAACATTAACTTTAAATAACAACAGAAGACAAAAAAAAAAAAAATTTCAAATAAATTTAAACCAAAAATTATGCTTCTACTCTTACTTTTGACTGAAGTCATTATAAAGTTATTAATTTTAATGTATTAATCTAAACAACAACAAATATATATATATATATACATATATATTTATGATATTTTCTTAACTTTTCAAACAATAAAAATGCAATATTATACATAAAACATCATCGAACTTTTTTTTTAAACTGTATGATACAGATAAAGAAAGAGTATGTCACACACACATAGATAAACAATCAAACGTAAATTTATAGCAATAAGAAAAAAACAAACAAAAGAATAAGAGCACGAAAAGTCAAAATCTTACAAAAAAAAAAAAAACGTGCTAACGATAAAAGTCACAAAAGAAAAAAAAAATTCAGATCTAAAAAATATGAGAAAATTGCACGAATGTGAAAAAAAAAAAGAAAGAAAATCGCACCATTAACACGAAACAATACATATATCTATCTGAGCATGATTAGATATTAAATAACAGATGATGGAAGTTTATCATAAGGTGGAGCAGGAGATGATGCAGGTGGTCGTTGACGAGGTAATGTACTATGTTGAGGTGAGATTGTTGTTTGTTTTAATTGTTGTTGATGAGAATTTGTATGATTATTAGTTAATGTTTGAAGAACTTGAAGACAATCTCCATGAGCACATTGAAGAGGTGTACGACCATGATTGTCCATTATAAATGGATCAGCACCATACTGAAAGAAAAAATTCAAAATTAATGATAAAAGTTTAATAATTTTTGTTTTTTAAATATTGTCAAATGAAATATTAAATTTCGATTTTCTCGGAAAAACAAGTCGATATCAATTTAACTAACGACGAAAGGTCACCAAATGTGACTCTTCAATCGAACTGATATTTTGCTCATCAGTAGGCTATGATGAGACTAGTAGAAGATAAAAAATTGTAATAACTTAGGAAAGACAACGCATTGGAACGAACTCTTATAGGCTTCTAATAGTCGCTTTGGGGTCTACTTATTTGGCAAAGTATCGGTTCGATTGACGAACTACACTTGAAAACATTTCTTTGTACGATAAATGACTATCACTTAGACTAAGATTTTGTTGAATGTCATGAAATCTGAACTCTTGTACTTTCAGAAATTACACAATATTTTACGAAATTTCAGAAGCCAAGGAATTCTAAGAATTGTCGGAACTTGAGAAATTTAAAGAATATTCTGAACTTGACATAATTATAAAATCCTATCATGATCGTTAGTAAACCCATATATTCAAACACAATGAACTAGAACAAGTTTTGACATGTTTGAATACTGACACGTATGATAATCTTCAGATAAAATAAATAAAAATGTAACTAGTCAAATTTTTGTGCATTCAAAATATAAGTTAATTTAAGATGAAATAGATAAATGAATGATCAATTACCAATTCAAAAGTTCTCAAATTCAAAATTCTTATTACATAAAAATAAATTCCGTAATTTAATCGAACTCAAGTCTCGAATAATAATGAATTTCATGTTTTGATCTAAATTCTAGGTGATTTTATAATTGCACTGCATCTATTACATTATCAGATTTTATGATTAAGCAACATAGTATGTAAGTCTTCCCGTACTATCCTCAATTGTATATGACTCTCTGGCTTCACTCACAACGATCATTCCAATTGTCGAAAACGGTTATGAAGCGACGTATTGTTTTATCCTATTTTGCCGTAATATGTCATCTCGTTTTTTCTTTCACTAGAAAACAATTATCATTTCTTTCATTATTTTACGGGATTATATGAAATGACTACGTCATGACGTCAGTTTTCTTAAATCTGGACATCTTGGATGAGATGATGCACTCTTTGCATGCTTCTCAACACTGCCTATCACTGTCAAAATAGTTCCTAGAATTCTCATCGTGAAATTAACAATGTAAAAGACTGAAAAAAGTCGATTTTAGAAATATTACACTATGCTAGTAGTTAAAACTTAAAGAAGTTGCATTTACTATCTGGAACAGATCATTTTATATGGAACCTCATAGAGAAACTTTTGGAAAAAAAATAATTCAGTGTGTACTATAATGATATTGAAATAGTCATTTTTTTTATCAATATAGTAAATGATTATCTAATCACTCTAGTACAATATCCTGATCTAATTATTAATGTTTTGAATTAATTTTCAATAAAAACATATTCATAGATGTTTATTAGGGAAACCGAATAATTTTTCAAATGATTGAAAGAAAAAAAGAAATAGGATTCATTTGTTAAATTTTAAGTTTTAATGATTAAAATTACCCAAAGAAGAAGTTGTAAAATGGTAACATTGCCTTGTAAAGCAGCTAAATGTAATAATGAAGAATTTATATCATCCGTTGATATTTTTCTATGAGCTAATATAAGTATAACTGTATATAAATCTTCTTTAGTTATAGCATCAATAAGTGATTGTCGTGCTTGATTAGGTAAAATTGTTAATGGTGCAATAAATAATTTTTGCTCATATTTATCTCGAATCCATCGTTCACGTTCAGATCTTAATAAATAAAATAAAATAATTAAATAATACTCGAGTGAAATTCAAAGTACAAAGACATTTCAAAAGTCTATGATGGAAGACTTGTTTCTACGATTCAGTACGCAACGTTTTTTTTTTCTGTTGGTATAGTTAGACATGTTACGTTTCCATCAATCAGCGACTTTGAAAATGATCTTTTTCTTTTTTCCAAAAATTTATTAATTCAACTTTTTTTAATCAGGGATAAATCAACATATGTTGATATGATTTGATGTTACGAGCTATTAACACAAAAGTGATGAGATGTTACATCAGACACTGTTACTGTTGTCTATTTTTTTTCAAATATGAACGGCTAGTCCATTTCTTTAAACGGTGTTCTCAGGCAAAAATGACCTGTCAGGAAAACTATAGAAAGTTTGAAATATCAATGAAAAAGTTCGTTTGCCTTTAAACCTTAGCAAAGTTTCAATCAACAAGCAATAATTTTTTTTTCTATTTTTATTGGTCGGGAAAATTTGCCGCGTTTTTCTGCTTGCTTTGGAAATGGTCTAAAAGATTCTATCTCGGAAATAGAAGATCTCTCCGTCCACCATATCAGAAGTCCAAGGGCTTCTATTGTATTTAGATAATTTCAGTTTTTCGAACAAAGCTTCGTAGATGCTAAGGTTTAAATTGTATTAATTAAAACTTACGAAGAAGCATTTGGTTGAGGTTTAATTCGATTTTTAATATTTATTTCCCATATTGAATTGACTAGTTTATTTCCAATTGAACGCATTACTTGTACAAGTTCCGATCTTTCGAAAGAAAAAAAAAAAGATAATATTTCATTTAAAATCAAATTACAAAATTCATACGGCCATTCATCTAATTCAAGTGATCGAACACGTGATAAATGTGTACCAAGATTTCTATGTAATGATGCACAATCCATACAAATTAAAGAACCAAGATTTAATGAAGCCCATGTTGGATCTTAAAATAGAAAAATAATTTTATTTAATTCAAATATATATTTTTCTTACTTATTTGATCACAATCTGCACAAAAATTATTTCCTGGTATTTGTTTAATAGCTTGTACAGATGCTGAATCAGCTATCGTTGGTCCACCTATTTTAGCTGCTCGTGCTGCTTTTGAAGATTCAATATTTTGTAAACTAAATAAAATTTGTTGTTCAATAGATTGTACCCATTCATCACGTTCTTCATTTGATTGTGCTTCAAAAAACCATTGTTTATCCAATGATACAATAATAAAAATATTTTCATCACCATCATCATCACCACCATTTGTATTTGATATGGATTTTGATGTTGTAAAATTAGTTGAATTATTTACATTTGATTGTTGATTACGACGATGACGTTTTTTTGCATTTGGTGTTTCAATTTTTCCTAATAGAAAAAAATATAATTAAATTGTTTTAGAAAAGTCCATGAATTTTACCTGATGCATGTGATAATAAATCTGTTGATGTCATATCATGTAATTTGTTATCATTACTTGAACTACGTAAAGCAATACGAGGTTTATTTGAACCTGGAATTTTAATTGATGTACGTTGAAGAATAATTTCTTTTCCATGAGAATCATTTTCATAATCCTAAGACAAAAAAAAAACCAAAATTCTGGACTCTTTTGAAATAGAAAAGATTAATTTACATGTAATGATGGATGATAAATTATTCGACCATCATCTAATAAAACAACATATTTCTTTTTCCAATCTCGATTAATACTATTCGTTCCTTTTTTATATAAAAAACCCTGAAACAAAAGAAAAAAAAACAATAATTAAATATGAAATAAATTTTTGAGATAAATATTTGTCATTAAACCTGTTTAATTGGTATTGCTCGACCATGTCCTATTCGTTCTGATTTATTTTTATCTTCATCTTTTTTTCCAGGCTAAAAATAATAATCAATACATTGAAAGGTTTTTTTTATATTTGCGAACATATCAATATAGGTACAAATGTCTGTCTAAAAATATAATGGCCGTAGGTATTTTTTCAGTAACTCAAAAACGAAGAGTTAAAGACTTGCGATTTTCACCATTCGAGACCGATAATCCGGAACGATCAAAGTTCATTGAAGTTTGATTGGTCAGTTATTGGCCAATCAGGTGGGTTTTCGAAAATTCCCATCAAGAACTCATCTGATTGGTCGATTGCTAACCAATCAAATTTCAATGACCTCAAGTCTTTAGGTCGAGATAGGCTACATACACTTGGTACATTCACGATCGCTATCAGCAACGTGAATTACATTGCTCCTGCTACTAGAGAATATAACAATTATATATAGCCTATCTCAATCGAATCTTTGCTCTTGAATGATGAAAACTGTATGTCTCCATGATGTTCCTATCAAAAGCTATTTAGAAAACAGTGCAGCACATTATATTTTAAAATTTCCTTTCTTGAGATGTAAAAAAATATGAACAAAATTTGCTTTTACATATATGAGAGAATTTCGAATATTAAATATCTCAGGATAGGAGATACTAGAAAAGCTACAACTTGTATAATGAACTACTGTCATTGAGAACTTTGCTCGTGCAAATTTTGCGGTCAAAACTCGAAAGTCGATTTCCCATATGACCTGAGGAGGTTGAAAAACTCAGTAAAATATCAACATCTCAATTTCTTTTTGACATCTGAAGAGGTTTCATCGTAAAAATTCTTTTTAAAAATCTTCATCGTTCTTTTGATTGAATATAGTATAAAGCCACAAACGAAAAAAGATTTTATTCTTTAGAAAAGTCTTACTGTGAATAAATTTGATTTTCTTTTTGTTTCTTTTCTTTTTTGTGTTGGTGTTAATTGGTCATTTGTGTCACTTTTTGATTGTCCTTCATATACAGGTAACGATTGTGTTTCAGTAAGTGTTGATAATTTTGTTCCGAATTGTTCTTTAAATGATCGAGTGCGTTTATCAATTTGTGGTTGTTGTTGTTGTTGTTGTTGTTGTTGATTATTTCGATCTTTTAGTACACCATTTAATGTTTGAGTATTAATACATTGAGCAAGTTGTGCAATAGCTGTATTTTGTATTGAAGATGAAAGGATAGGTGGTTGCTGATCATAATGATAGGATGAAAATATTGATGGTGGTGTTGTTTTAGGTAAATTTGTATTACCAGTTATAAGAGAAGATTGTGAAATACTTTGAGAATTTGTTAAAACTCGTACTTGATTTGATATTGATGATTGTTGTTGAGATGTTATTGAGCGATTTGATGATAATGTTGAAGTCGAAAAACCATATCGTTGTTGAACAACTTTTTGACAAACTAAAATCAAATAGATTTAATTAAAGGCGGATGAGAGTTGTTAAGAAATGAAATCGGTTCCTCTCTTGAAATTAAGTTTCTGATTAGTCAATTAAAATAGCAGGAGTCGATTGCCATTAGAATTCATTATGGATGTTCATGATTGCATCATAACTCGATGATATCGATTTCCTATAGCGTTATGCAATATAGTACTTATATAGAAATTGGAATATGACAAAATATTATTCTTTGCCTGAGATTGTTCGTTTGTATGTAGTTACAATCTGAGAACATTCACGATAAAACTCTCTTACTATTGAGCTGTGAAAGTAGCGATTCAATTCGAATTATATATTATTCGATAGACTTTTCAAAGCTCTATAAAATGATACTATTGTGTTGAGATTAATTTATGGTCAAGACATTTTAATAAAATGTACAATGATTGTGAAAATCAAAAAGTTGCCTGTTTTGATAGATTTCGATGAGAATAACCAATCTTCCTATCAACGTAAAAAACTGAGTCGATCTATATGTGTCACAAAATCCTCCGACAACCTTTATTTTTGTCCAAAAGTTCAGTCTTGGTGTCCTCCTCAGGATAATATCGAAAAATAAAGTCAGCCAAAACATCGTTTTTATTATTTATTTACTTGTCATTTTGGATTTTCCTTGGTTTTTAAAAAACTTAGAAATGGTTTTCGCAGTCAAACTAATATTTTCACTGACTTTATTTTCCGACGTTACCCTGAGGGAGACACCAGGGTTGAATTTTCGGACAAAAAGTTGCTCGAGGATTTTGTGACACATACAGATCGACTCAATTTTTTATATTGATTCTAAATATATCATTTATTTTGATAGGAAGACTGGTTATCTTGATCAAAATCTGTCAAAAAGAGACAACTCTTTGACTTGCACGCATTTGATTAAAATGTCGTGACCACATATTAATCTCAACAGCAGTAGTAAGTGAGTTTTATCATACTCCAATTTCTATATAATTACTATACTGCAAAACGCTATAGAAGATCGATAGTATCGAATTTCGAGTCAACCATACACATTCATAATGAGTTCCAACGACAACCAATTCCTGACATATTAATTGAATATTCGAAAAATCAGAGAATTCAACTTTAAGAGGGAACTGATTTGATTGCTGAATGATTCTTTCTCCCTCCTATCTTTATTTCTTTTTCTAATTCTCACCATCATGAAATACTCGTTCAACATTAAGACCATATGTAGCACATGTTTCATAATATGTACAATGTTTAAGTTCATTTGCTAATTTTCTCGCTCGATCTTCATGTATAACACGTGGATTACTTTCACTAATTGCATCTATTAAATATAAAAATTGATTATTTTATTTTATTTTTTTTTTAGTAAAAATTTTTTTCTAACCTTGTGTTCCTATAAGAATTAATGGCATATCACTTATATTTCTATAATGATTCATTTTTGTATAATATTGATAAATTGTTTTAAAACTTTCTTCGTTTTCTAAACTAAATACAAATATAACAGCATCAACCCAATGTGTAAACTAAAATTACACAAAAAAGTTTACGATAAAAAAAAATAATAATTTATTATTTCTGACTTGTGTATCTGGTGCATTAGCTTCATCACGTATAAGTAATAAATAACTTTGATTATCAATAATAATTTCTTTTTTAAATCTTCCACCTTCAGCTGATTCTTCTTGCATATAAACACCAGTTAAAAATCGATGAACTAAAGCAGATTTTCCACTTGCTACAGTACCTAATAAACCAATTCGAATATCTAAAACATTTCGACTTAATGTCCATTCTTGACTGTTCACAAATGAGTCTAAAAAAGCAAAGAAAACGTTTTTAATGATAAAGTTTGTTTCTTTTTTTTTTTATTTTAAAAAAACCTTCAATAATCATAACATGTTCACGAATATGTGCTTGAGTACTTAATTGATCTTTAATTTCATCGATTAATTCATATATTGAATAAATCGATGGATGTACACCTTCAAAACGTTCAATTTCAGATTTAATAAAACTTGAATTTGTCATTTGAAGTTGAGAATTTATTGATGGCATTGTACCAAAATTATTTGAAGATATTTGATTATAATTCGACATGATTACATAAGTTTCTTAAAGAAATAATAGTTCAAAAAGTTATTCAATAATCTTTGATTGTGAATAATTTTTCATAAGAACAAAATAGAGAAAGTTGCGGCTTACACAATTCGAAAGAGATCGGATTCAACAATATCGGTTAATCATCATGTTGTCAGTGAGTGAACTTTAAACAAATACTGATAGATCTATGAAGATGACATAAAAGTTTAATTCTAAGAAATGAGCTAAATCGGCATCTAAATTCGAAATTTTTATCGCTAACCGTTTAAGAGTTGTAAGTGTAACACTAGACGGTAGAACCTATGCATCGAACTCCGAAAGAGTCAGAATATCTGTACCACTCAATATCTCCATTTTCATCATCTTGAAACGACCTTAAATTACATAGACATATGCAGTTTCGATGAAAATACTGACAGTAGTTTACGGATAGTGAGCCTACTGACACACCGAATCGATGTTAACTGAAGCATTGATACACTCATACATTATGAACATGTTAGATAAGTTAGTGAATGCCAATCTAATGTAATCAGTTTGAATTCGGATATGTAAGCTATCGTGTATTTACAAGAAAAAAATTTCGAAATCAGAATTAAAAAACAATGTGATTCCGCAAGTCTCTATTAGACAATGAGAATGTGGATCATGACCATACAAATCTAATGAGTTTCTTAGATTTTAACTTCTGCATCATCTCCCTAGAGCTATTAGTAGTTATCTAAAGTCTACTGAGTGCAATGGGGTCATTAATTGATATTGTTGAACCATGTAGTGACATCATCTCGTTCGAAAGGTGAAGGCCGCAATTCTCTATTTTGTTCTTATTAAAAGTTATTTATAAGAGAAAACTGCCGTTTGACTTTTGGACCAGCATGTCTATTTAGACTATAAGCAAAAAATCACGATTTGACTTATATTTCAATAGTCTCATATTCATTCGCTATTTCACATACTCAATAATCGATAAATATGTGGCAAAATTCTTTTATTCTAAAAGGTTAATGAGAAATGAAGCTTTTGTACTTTGATAAAGAAATAAATTTTGTTTTAGGAGAAAATACATTAATATATGTTTATTTAATAAAAATAATGTCCTATACAGAATCTTACAGTAATATTTTATATATCTTTTGGGCTAAATTAAATATTTTACATAGGATATTGTTTGTCTTATATCCACAGCTCTAGGCAAAAATGTTTTATATCTTTTTTTCACAAAAGTCTAATATTATAATGAACTTCTTTCATTGAATAATAGTCATATACTTCCGTAAAATATTCTATATCACAATTTACTTACAATATAAAAGTAATTCTCTTCATATTTGTCTATCAAAACTTTGAATATTCTAATGCAATTGATCACAGATAATACCGTATATAAATATTAAGTTATGAATTAAAGTAGGCGTTTTAACCAGCATAAAGAAAATATTGTTTTATTGACTTATCAAAAAGAACAAGTACGAGAAAATAAAAATTAGTTTTTCTTTATCGTGTGCAAAAAGCCTTATTAATTGAATCACATGGGAAGCTCAACAAATGCGAAATAGGTTATAAAAACTGGTAGATTTCTCCAATTACGTCTAAGGAAATATTTCTAGTTGTCGCTTATGACAAATGTGTTTACACTATCACTTAAATTGATTTCGATCATATATCAAATAGTGACATTTGATCTAGTTTATGTTGTATATTATATACAAAAAAACAAACTAAATTGAAAATACGCCTAATATTATTTTTTGTTATACTTACAAAAAGTAATTTATTTGAATCGTTATCACTGTTAACATCTAATTAAAATAAAAAGAAACGAACATAAAACAATTTTCATACTTTTTCACTTACAAATCATTCGAGCGTAGAAAAAAGGAGCAGTAGATAAATCAATTAATTTTAAAGAGTAATGGTGGCATTTCAAGATGGCGGATCAATTCTGGTAAAATACTTGACCAATTATTAGCGAGTGTCGTTTTTTTTTTTTTATAATTTATTTTCAATAAAATTACTTAGTGAATTTAAAATCTGTTTTTTTTTGCTCTTTTATAAAAATCAAAAATAAAACTAAAATTCTCAACTGACATCTATAATTCTCGAATTATATGTCGTGTACAAGATTTTATTTTTTTATTTATTTGAAGTGATGTAAAATGAGATGAAATAGGCATCTATCAGTTAAGCTAATCTAAAATCATACATTATATTCGAAAACATACCATACTTATTATTTTTTAGTCATTGAAATCAATATAAAAATATTCCAATATTTACTCTTATTTATCCATAAATTAGTTGACATGGACGTGTAAGTCATGTATACAGGAATCGTAGCGATCTATGTATTAAATGCACGAAAATCTCGTAGGAAAAATCAGGAATTTCAATAAAAATCAGAATATGGTAAAACCTATGGTATTCGTTTAGTTGATATTTCACTAGTAATATTAAAGCTGGTGTTCTTCCTCATAAAATGTTCCACCGTATGATGTTATAACGTCACACTGTGGAACATTTTATGAGGGAAAACATCAACTTTAATGTTACTTGTGGAATACCAGCTAAACGAATACCAAACCTATTTTATTATTTCTGTATAAGACAAACTCTATATATAAGTGAATAAATTAGCAATAAATTCATGATACTTATCCCTAAGAGTTATTCACGTTATATTTATTCCCTAATATCAGTTTTTAGAAATCAATTAACAATAAAAATAACATATTTTAAGTACAAGTGAAATACGAATGACGTACGATATTTCACTGATGCTTCGTCGTATTTCATTCTAACTTCGGCGTATTGAGGTGTTTTTTTTCTCCTGACATATACCTCTTTGAATATTACATATGTGTAAATCTTTCCCAGAAGTTTTTTATGATTAAAGCTTACGAATGAATCTCTTCAGATATCAAACTGTTTTTCAACCGAGACGATGTTCATCTGATGAGTAATAGAAAAGTCTAGAATAGTTTAGTTTTCCAAACCGTCGTTCTTGAGATATCGAAATTTTACTGATTTTTTTCAAGTCTCTCATATCACGTAAAAAATTGACTTTCGATTTCAAATTTTGCACGAACGAAGTTCTCAATGAGATTAGTTCATTAGAAAAGTTGTAACTTTTCTCGCATCTCCTATTCTGAGATATTTAATATTCGAAATTTTCTCATGTATAAAAGCGAATTTTGTTCAGATTTTTACATGTCAAGTAGGAAAATACCAGTTGCACGATCAACTAATCTCATTAAGAACTTCATGGAAAGTTTGAAGTCAAAAGATAATTTTCCATTTGACCTGAGGGACTTGAAAAACTCAGTAAAATTTCGAAACCTTGAGAACGAAACCAGTCTAGACTTTTCTATTACCCATCAAATAAACATCGTCTCAGTTGAAAAGCAGTTTCACACCTAGAGAGTTCCCTCGTTATTTCATAGAAATTGGCTTTATTTGATGACAACTTGCCTTAAACTATAATTTAAGAATTGTATAAGGCCAGAACTTGAAACTTGATGACGTATACAGAAATAGAATTGAAAAATAAAAAGTTTTGAAAGTTTGTAATCAATAGTTTGCTAAAGTTATGTTTAGTTTTAAAAATGAAAGAGATAATATTTATTGAACAATACAGATAAATTTATATCAAATTTTACAACGATTTTAAAAATTTGGTTCAAAACGATGAAAACATTCGATATTAACAAAAAGAAAGAAGTTCTCTTCTTGAGGATCCTCCTGATATCAATAACAATTGCTCATGTAAAACTAACTGCTTTGAAACTTTGATCAATTGAAAACTACTTAAAACCGATTACGAAAGAATACAAAAGAAAAACAAATATGATATGAACATTATATTGTTCTTTCTTGATGGAAAATGTTCTAAAAATATTTTAATAAAAGTCTTGAAAATAAATTAATTATAATACAGAACGCTTCATTGTCCTGTAAACATAGTCCTACAGCAATAGATCGTAAAATATCAGGAAAGTAGTATCGCTGCCAGATCTGATACTGGATATATGCAGGGGGATACCTTTTGGGGAATATGAAGCCTTCTTGTTTGTGAAAATTATTCACGCAATGTTCTTTTTGCCTGAGACTCAATCACTCTACTCATTCTTTTGTCTCTAGTGCAGAGTTATGTTTCTGTATATATGTGATCAGGCTCAAATCAACTGACCTATTGAACATTACTTTTTTAAAGAAATTATCTTAAGGAATTAAAGCAAATTATCAGTATAGAAAGGATGTGTCAGAAGATTTGAAGCGATTTTCAAAGTATTTGCTCTTAAATTTAACAAAATTAAACTTTGTAGAACTTTATTAACTTATTGTATTAATTTAAGAAAGAGATACTCTGAGTGTTTTCTCGTTTTGTGAGTTTACATTTTACCCATTAGTAGGACTTAGACGGTCTCAACACCGTTCAGATGTATGATCTACTGATTAAACATTACAGTCGTGCGGGTAAATTTCCGGTCTCGGGTAAGGTTTCTAGAGCAAGGTGTAATGCAAGTATTTCGAACTGAAATTCTATTTATCAAGAAATCTCAAGATACTGACTTTACATGACAAATGCATTCTTTTGTCATCAATCTCTTGCAGGAAAATATTCTCCAATAATCTAATGCTTCGAGAAAGAAACTGCCGTCTTGACTTTAAGTTTTAGTGCATGCTAGAAATCATGAGATCTATTGATGAACAGAATTTCAAATCGAAATATTATCATTTCACATTGCTCTAAAGATCTTATCTTACACCCAATTCACTTAAACCGCTTTAATGTTTGACCAATAGGTAATGGATACGAACACTGTTAAAACCGTTTATTATGAGCAAGATATTAACTCAAAATAAAACAGCTGAAGCAACTATAATATTTAAGATCGATAGTTTCTACAATGAGTCAAAAACTTTAATAACACTACAATGTTCTAATTTATAAATTC